ATTTGAGAAAAATTGTAAAGTACACTAGGACTAAATTATTCTATACAGACAGTAGTTCCAAGCACACCTGTTTGTATATTCGTGGTCGCAAGGCCTGGTGCTCAATCTAGGGCAATATTATTCGCGAATTTAACTTACTCAAATGGGGCCTTAATTTCCACGAGTCCATACTGTTGAATTATCACGGCGAAAGATGTGCGATGACCTGTTGAGGACACATCGGAAAAGAGAATGTCATGTGCTATTTACATTTAAAAAAAACAATGTCATGAGCAAAATGGCTAATCGTAGTGGGAGGACTTTCATATGGACCTATCTTGCGGAAGTTAAGAACATTTTTCAGAAGACCAGTAAGGCAACAGGCAAGACGGGATTGTTGCCTTTACTAAATGTTGGTACACTGGCTACGTAATGAATTATCTCAGCCAGAATAAATGTGTTGTTTTTTGGCCAAATGATATCACTGTTTGCCACGCCTTTCGGTTAAACGCTGCTTAAGAGGGACGCAGTATCTCGTGCATGTTTCGACCAGCCTTGTTCAATGTTAACGTCTTTTTTAATTATAGAGGTAGAAGTAAATGTTAAATGAGCCGCGCAAACTATTCATACATAAGGCATGCTTAGTATTTGTGAAATTCTTTCAAAAAACCGCAATTGCTTTTCTGTTTCATCATTCTCTATCATCCAAAGATATTCTGACCTTCAAAAAGAAATGAATATTTAAAGGTTTGATCTAATATAGTTATAATGTGAATTGTCGCTTCCAGGTTTATTCCTATGGGCCGCGAGACCATCGGAGAGTTCTTCCACCATTCTGAAGTGCCTAAACTAGACCTCGTAGACCTCCACGACACCACAAACTACAAATACACAGGTCTGGAGGCTTTTGCTCATCCTCGCAACATTACTAAGCACTTAGAATTCCATGATCTTTCAAAATAGCTGACAGTTCACACCTAATGCTGATAAAATAAACAGCCTCTGATTTGGAGAAAAGTTCTTCCAAATCAACAAAAACTTTCAACTAGCCATTTAAAAATTTACAATTTAAGCGGAGCCAGAAGTGAAAAGATCTGAATCCTCTTCCTACGATGGCGGACTTGCCAAGCGAAAACAAGGCAGAGGTTTGTTTCGGCAGCTATTATTGGTAATATTTTGTAAAGGTCAAATCAGGTCAACGTTTTCAAGGACATAAATGGAACACGTACCACTTCCTTTGGGAAGTCAACGAATGGATCGGACTGCGCCATTTATTCATGATATTTTTAATAATCGCGTACACTACCATTGGCGCATATCTGTTTTATCGAATCGAATCGAAAAATGAACGAATAGTAGGTATTTCTATGAGTCTACTTTGTGTCTATGTTCTTGAAAACAAAAGTACATCTTATCTAGGTTTATCCTATTCGGATGAAGGAGCTGAGCGCAAAAGTTTTTAGCATAGCGAAGAAATTTAAGAAAAATGCTACATGGAACTC